AAAATCACAAAATTAAACAGCAAATCTGAGTTCAAATTGCACATAGTATTAACTCGATGGAACGTTATTATTTCAATCAAACTCATTAAATATGTTAGAAAAAAAGTTTGTTTTAAAATCAATAAATTCGTTTTGAAATCATGCATTTAATTAAGTGGCAGGAACCAGTCTTCACTGTCTGATAGCTTCCAGGTTTATTAACTACAGGAGGGATCCTGAAATCCTGAACTCAAGGTGAAGACAAAACATGTGTCATTACATGCAGTAGGATCTACTGTGGATACGATTCTCAGCCACTTGTACTCAATAGCTTACAGTTTCTGATACTTCTTGCAAATATTGTACTTAATAAGTTAGCTTGATTTAAGTTATCTTAAAGTAGCCAACAATAATCAACTTATAAACCTAAATTATGATATTATAAGTTGGTATCAGATAAAACCATTCACGCTGAAATAAAATTAGTAGCACTTTTATCAGCTGCAGCATTAAAGGGAAGCACATTAATGCATCAGTCATTACATGATAATCATTCAGTATATTCTCAAATGATCATTTCTGCATGAGGAGCACTTCAGTGAAGTAAATTTTTTAACCAACAAAAAAAGCTGTAAAAAATGAGTAAAGCTTGCTGAAATTAACACATTCTAATACAACAGTCTTACCGGATACAGTTTGTGATGCTGTTGAATAAATATACGATATTTAACAGAGAGGTGTTTTTGCTATTCAGTCCATCCTGAAATATAAAGGTGGCAGATAAAATAATAAAAATAACACATTTAAGCTGTCAGTTTAGCACTACGGAGCACAAGCTGAACATAATAACGTTTATTGGGTGTTTATTTTGTAAGCTGCGGACCGGAAGTGCTGCTCACAGCCTCTGACTTGACTCCGGCTGCTCCGGTTCACATGAAGCGGCTCCGGTGAGTCCCGACCCGGCTCCGGTCTGTCACATGGCTGAACATGGAGCCCGGGGCTCGGTTAACCTTTCAGATACGTGACACCGCGGGACAAGTTTCAGACTGAAAGCTGGGTCGCTATCTGCCAGAAAGAGGAACGTAAATCGCGGGTAAAGGTTATCTGAGCGTGTGACTGCCGCCCGCAGGACACTTTCGCTTCTCCGTTAACTTTTCTCGGATGTGTTTTCCTGAAAACGCCGCTTGTTTACGGCTCCGCGGGCAGCGGGGAGGCTCCTCCGACAACTTTGCGTGTCTCAGCTGCAGTAACTGCGCAACAAGTGTGTAACTGTGCGGCGCTTGTTGTTGTGAACAGCTGACTCACCCCCGCAGGCCGGAGGCAGCGGGACATGGCCGTGTGTCCGCCCCCGGAGCAGCCCCAGTAGAGCCGAGCCCTCCACGGGCTGAGGATGATCGGGTCACCGGACCTGCTGGCCTTCACCGGCGGAGAGGGCTTCAGGGAGGCGGAGGAGCAGCTGGAGGACCAGAGCGTCCCGGAGGAGCTCACCGTCCCGCTGCTCCCCGCCGCTCACCCATGGAGCTCCTCAGCCCGCTTCAACCGAGACTTCATCCTGGTGGCAGAGTTCTCAGAGCAGGTGGGGGTTTAAAATAAATAAAATAAAAAATATGTACTTTCTTTACTGTAGAAAATTAAACTAATAATAATAATAACTTTTTAAAAAATTAACTATTTTTTTCTGACAATTTGCTTCTATTTGATAGATTTTCCTGTTTTGTTTAATTACGCACAATAATTTGTAAAATCACAAAAAAATATTAATTTACAGGTGAACCATAAAACAACAGGCCAAAAGTGTAAATAATGTTTATATCAAAAGTCTGTGTTTTTATAAATGATCGTTTGTTCTTTTAAAGCATTTAATCATAAAATTATAATTGTAGTTTTAGAATAAAAAAATATTATTATCATGGAGATATTTGCCCTTATTTGAAAGAAATGGATTCATGAATGGTAAATCATTTTTTTTTCAACTTCAAATTAATTTTTAAAAATGAATGTAAAGTTATACTGTTTGACTATTTAAATCTTAAAAGCATGATTAGGTTCATTTTGTCTGCTCTGATTATAGTTAAAGGTATCAGGTTTTCTTTTTTTATCAGACAAGCTCCTATCTAAAAAATACTCATTGTCTAATTAAAAAAAAAAAGAAACCTTACCAAAAAAAAAAAAAGAAAGAAAGAGAAAAAACAGAAAACATAATAAATATTTGCTATTGTTATTAATTATTTTTTTGTCAACATGACACTGTTCCACCACTCTTTAACATATTTTTTTCTGGTACCGTTGCTGCCAGATTTTCATATTTTTTGGGGGGATTTTTTTTTTTTTTTAATATTTTATTTTACTACATATGATATCTTGCTGAGTGCTTTGGCTGAATACCTGCAAGGACCCCTCAAGAAAACCAAGATGTAATAGTAGCACAAAACAGATCCAATGAAGATGATTTAAAAAAAAAAAAAAAAAAGAGCTTTATCATACAACTGAAATCAGTTTGCTCTATACATCAAAACATTTAGAACACTGTGATTTTTCCATTTTTTATTTAAATTTAGCCAGTTCGAGGCCAGTGAATCGTCTTGAATGGTAGTAAACTGGTTAAGGAGTAAGTGGAAGTGAAAGTTCCTGTGTTTGTCACAAGTTTTGCTGATGACTGACGAAGCCTTTGTTTGTACAGTCAGTGTTGGAGGAACCCTTTTTCATTGCAGCTTTATGGGGACAGCACTGTACTGCAGGAAGTATTAAATCTTTGAGACTGACGCCAAGTTGTTTATATATTGACCAATATTCTTTATATATACATATGCTGGAGTAATATTGAGAAGGCAAAATTAAGGACTCACCGTCTATTCACTTTCCAGTACTGTATTTCGAAAACTAGTTGGCAACTTACACCACTTGACTCCGTACCACCGTGTATAATAATAACACAATAATAACAATAATATCTGATGCATCAATCGGGGTCTACTTTATAAAACGATCAGAATGCTGAGAAAAACACATATAACAGAGGCACAGCGAGTGGTTGGTCAGGTTTCATCCTGCAGTGAGATACTGAGCCAAAACATTAGATGTTGACGACTAAACTTTAAATGATGGAAGAGTCCACAAGATTTAATTTCCTTTATGTAAAGAACGTAAACGTGTGTTGGCTACTGAAAAAGTAGGTTTAAATGATTCTTTTTTTAAAATATGTATAACCTGTTGTATGGTTTTGAAGTATTTGTTTAATTGTATCGATTCATAAAGTCCCAATAATTCCAGGGGATGTTAATATCTACTTTTTTTTTTGCTTTAGTTTGTAGATACACGTCTGTCGTTGTGTTGTTGAAGTGTCTTAACAAACTTAATGTTACAGCCAAGTTTCATGTGATGGTAACGATGTCGCAACTGATCATGAGCTGTACTTTATTTATTCAGGAAGTCTCTGTGAGATTAAGATCTCTGTTTCAAGGAACCTGCTGAACAAATTACACATATTACTCCTCACACGCTACACACGAGTGCAACTCACCTCAAAGAAATTGTTATTGTTGTCCACTTTATTAGGTGCACCGATACAAACTAATGCAATCCAGTGCAAATTATCTTTCATCAAATCTACTTCTATGATGCCAGAAATGTTCAGTTTTTTGTTGATGTTGTTGTCAGGCTGTACAGATGTGTTGGACAGTGTGCAGACTGTAAAGGCCTCTGAGGCATATTAGTGACACTGGGTTAAAATCCTGAAATCTGCTTTTAAATACAGACTCTGTCCCCACATAAGATCTCTCCAAACCCCTGCTCTGTGTCTCCAGGTGGGTCCAAAGCCAGTGCTGACGATCCCGGATGACCCCAGAGTCATCGGCTCATTTGACCTCAACCATTTCTCCGTTCGCATCATGTCTGTGGACTACCAGGCGTCGGGCCCCGGGCCGGCCTCCTCCCCTGGACCCCGACTCAACTTCAGCGAGGACTCCAAAGTGATCCTGGGAGATTCAGCGGAGGACGCGTTTGCGTACGTTCACCACCTGACCCTGTACGACCTGGAGGCTCGGGGGATGGTGCGTCCTTTCTGCATGGCCTATGTGTGCTCGGACCAGGCGAAGCTGATGGAGAACTTCTCAGAGCTGTCGACGTGCTTCTCTCAGGCGTCTGACAGCCTCAAGACGGGGAACAGACAGGCGTTTTCTATGGAGCTGCAGAGGAAACTACAGGAGCTCGAGTAAGATCAGTAGTGTGAGCAAATAAAAACATACATGTATTAAGTGTTTGTACAGTTATACGTTTTTATGTTGTTTTATATATTATATTTTAAAGCACCAGTTGATCGCTTTAAGTACATTTACAGAAATTTGAAAAGGATTATGTAGAAAATTTACAGCTGAAAGGTGCCTAACAGTTAGCACTGTTGACTCGTATCCCGGTGAGGACACCCGGGATCTTTCTGCGTGGAGTTTGCATGTTCTCCCTGTGCAGCCTGGGTTTCCTTCCGGGTTCTCCGGCTTCCTCCCACACAGTCCAAAAACATATTGAGGTTAATTGGTGATTCTAAATTGTCCTTAGGTGTGAATGTGAGTGCGATAGACTGGTGACCTGTCCAGGTGTCCCCTGCCTTCACCCTAAGTCAGCTGGGATAGACTCCAGCCCCCCATGACCCTAGTGAGGATTAAGTGGTGTATAGATGATGGATGGATGGATGAAGAAGATTTAACCCTTTTAACCAGCAGTGCCCACATTTTTAATACAGTATTTGGACACTTGGGACTAAATGTTTCTTGGGCAGCTTGGTGTTGATTCATTCTTAGTTCACACAGGAGCCCACATGAGCATCAGAGCTGATTCTGTGAGTTACTTTGTTGAATTACAATATACTGAAAGATTAGTTTTACATTTTTTGTCCCAAGGAAGTGCAAAGAAACAATCCCTACTGCAGCTTCAATCTTTTATTTAACTGAAGTACAAAGTTTGAAGAACAAAATATGTGTAACTGTCCAAATACTGACAGTGTGAACTATACAAGCTGCTTTGACGGACACGTCAGCATCTGCAGTGGCCACGTGGCTCCTGTTAGGTTATTACAGATAAATCTTTGTAGGTAAATATGTCAATAACAAGAAACTGCAGAACAGAAAAGTCAAAGACATCCTAGGAAACAGTGGTTGTGTCACTCTTACAAGTTTATCTTCCTGCTGTAAAACGTTGTGGTCGTAACACACTCAGATGTAAGAGATTACTCTTTTATGACTCAAACATGAATGTTGGCCTCAGAAATCCACCACTGGTGAACTTCTTCAGTGCGCAGCAGTGACCCACCCACTCAGGTCTTTGAAGTTAATGTGGCAGATTGGACCTCTTCACAGGACTGTGCTGGTGTGGACGATCTCACTCGGTGGCATTGTGCACATGTTGAGGAGGAACTAATTAAACGAGTATTTTATTGTGCAATAACGACATAAATGGGTAAATTTACGTTTGGCCGCAAGCAGGAGGGGCCAGGAAATAGCATGGGCAGGGTTGTAAAGTTTGCATGCAGGTTAACAGCAGCATTCCACACGGTCATAAATTATTTACTGCTCCATCAAACACTTCACCGTCATCAACCTCTGTCACTGTTTCCTCAGACCCACTACAGCCAGACAGCTCCTCTCAGTGTCTGCTGATGTAGTATTTTGCTGTGCAATTGTAAAAGAATAAAAACAAATTAAAGCCGCAAGCGGCGATGGACGGGTCCTCGCCCTACGCTTGTCGGCCTTTGCGCACGGCGGGGTGTGGGGCA